GGATGGATGGATGGATGGATGGATGGATGGATGGATGGATGGATGGATGGATGGATGGATGGACGGACGGACGGACGGACGGACGGACGGACGGACGGATGGATGGATGGATGGGCAGATGGAAGGGCAGATGGATGGATGGGCAGATGGATGGATGGATGGATGGATGGATGGATGGATGGATGGATGGATGGATGGATGGATGGATGGATGGGCGGAGGGATGGGCGGATGGATGGACGGGCAGATGGACGGACAGAAGGATGGACGGTCGGATGGATGGAATATATTTAGGGTGAAATTATGGAAAAACAGATCTATTCTGTACCTTTTCCAGCTGAATTCCAGATCCTCTAAAACTGGAAGAAAAGTCTAGATGGATTTTACAGAATGTGAACCAGATCTCACCACCTGACATATCGAGGCATCAAGAATGATACAAATTCTGCATCCCAGTTCATTCTTCCCTAAGCAGCCTTGTTTTAATATCAGCGCATAAATTCAACTTTACCTGACATTTATATCTGACTGATACTTCAGAGGAATCTGATCAGAATCTATTTACCTTTAAACTAAAGGATTAGAGAAAAGCTGGATTAGTTGGTTTGCACCTTTCTTTGCTTCCTGATGCTGAGTCAGCAGAGCCTGATGAGAGCGGCGCTGCTGCCTGGAAAGGGCTCCTTTAATTTCCTAAAAAGCTCCATTATTAAAAGCTACCAGAGCAGCAGCTTCATTTTAACCACCAAACCAGGTTCATTTCTCTCAGTCACAGTTTCCACACTGCTATAGATCCAGACGTCTGGCTTTGAATCCAGAACGGATTAACCGGGATGATGAAGTTGACTCTTTAACGTCTCATTGATCTCCAGGCAGACTCTTTAAAGTGCCAGTCTTTTTGATCCAAGACCTTTATTTACTACAGCACAACAGGTTTTCAATAGATTTATCCCAGTTACTTCTTTATGTTCTCCTTTAAAGCAGCCAGATCTTCGTGTAATTCCTTAAAGTTTGTCAAATCATCAACTCTTAAACATTTCTATGCAGCTCTCAAAGCATTTCTTTTGCACAAATACTCCCAACTTAATTGTATAAATCAGTTATAGTTGGTCTATGAATCACCAAAGCTTAAAAACTGTTTCTAAACTCTGCGGATAAACCACTATCATCATGGCAGCAAATAACAGCTTATCTTAGGAGGAGTTTTAAACCAGCTCTCAACACATTTAACATTTGTTTTGTTTAAAAAAAAAAAAACTAAGAAGAAAAATATAATAATTCCTGGTGTCTGCAGTCTCTACAAGGCTGCATGGACATAAGATTTTAAAAACATGAGGAAAAGCAAAAAAGAAATAAACATTACAAAGCTTTTATCAACAAGCCTAATCCTCGTAGATTACAATGTTTGCAGACGACACTGTGGTTAGATTAGGAACCAAATCTGAACAGAGGCTGGAGAGGAGCAGCTAAAGTCCAAATGTATCAGTCAAAATATTTTGAACGAAGGAAAAGGAGGACAGAAATAAACGAGTTAAAGTAGAAGAGGTCCATCAGTTTAACCTCAAACATGAACATCTGGCTGCAGTGGTCGTTAATCTGCATAACTACAGGTGACCCACATCTGGAGCAAACGGTTCTCAGGCACCTCAGTGAAAAACTGATTTCCAAACAGCGCTGCCATGAAAGGCTTTCTAAAACAGGTCAGCAGAGGTAGGATCATCATCCACTGGCCGCCGCCAACCACGTCTCTGCAGGTATCCAACCCAGCTGTCCTCTAGGCTCAATCAACAGACTGAACAAACCTCTCAGATCATTTGGGTGCCGTTTTATAACCCAAAGCAGTGCTAAGGTTCAGCTGGATTTAAAGCTCAAATTAGAACCAAATTAATATTCTGCTAATTTACAAAATGCACATTTTCTCAGTACTTTGTGTTAAATAAGAAATACAGTTAAAATTGCGTGCGAATACGTTTTGTTCTCTGAAAACAACATGGCAGCAGCGGATGTAAACACATGAGATGTATCCATATTTCAGCCAGGCTCTAGGGGGCGCCATTGTCCTCCAACTATTTCTGGTCGTCCAGTTGCAGATCGCATGACTCCAGCAATGAGAAAAAAGGTGTTTTTGTTGCAGTTTTTTCAAAATATAACAATCTCAATGCAACCGAAAAAAAAAAAACATTAAAGTGTAAATGTTGTGGAAAATGTGAGTAAATTGCCGTATTTCTATTTAGCCAATTTATTTTCGTAATTAAATTTGTCCATTTAATGGTTAATGGAAACGCAGCTAGTGATGACATTTAACCCCTGATTGTTTTGGTGTATTTTGATGGTATAACTATAGATTGGGGATTAATCAATAAAATACGTTAATCACAATGTTTGTTTATGAAGATTCCAGTTTTGTAAAATAATTTAACTTATCCACTTCTTCAGAGTAACACCAGTTCATCGCTTTTAACACTTAGATGTTTATTTATAACTGATAAACAAGCTACAGACATTTGTTATATTTTCAATATTTGTTGTCAAACATGATTATTTTACAGCATTTTTCACAGCTTGAATTTCGTTGCCATTTAATTTAAGATCAGCATCCAGAGGCAGGGCTTGATGTTAACCATCGCCCGATCTCCCGGGGCAAGTAGTTTTTATTGTTGGGAGAGGACAAATTTCATTGCATTTCCCCGCCGGGCAAGTGCAATGATCGCAAAAAAAATTATTTTTCACTCAAAATTACTTTAAAATCACCGACATTCAATGAAAATGACCCAGAAGCGTTGCCGGCGCCACTTTTGTTGTTTTGTACACATTCTCGCGTGATTTGAAAAAGCCGGTTGATTTTCCTCCAGATGGCGTGATTTTTGTCCACCTAGTGGTAATTTTGATGTAGTTACCAAAACAACAAACAAGCTAGAAAGTGCTATTGTACCTGTGTTTCTGTATCATTTTATTCGCATAATCACTCAAAAATCACCTACATTCAAAGAAAACCACCCAAACGCGTTGTCTTAAGTTTTTAACCTGTCAAGTTTTTTTTTTGTTTTTTTTTTACAATACAATTTATATTTTTCCAAGCAGACAACAGTTTAAAGCAAAGTTTAGTTTGAAAACAATGTGCAGGAAGGATTGAAAAGCATGTTAATACGGTAATGTAGGCTTGAGTTCATTATCTGACGCATGCATATACACACCAGGAACCTGTAAACTTACTGAATTACAAAAAACATTTAAGAAATAAACATGTTTCATTGATATATATACAAAAATGAATATTAGGAACTATATTTATCAAACATACTGGGCAAGTAAAAAATTGTTTCTGGGCAAATGAAATGTGAAAGTCACTTGCCCGAAGGGGGGCCAGGGTGTGGCCCCAAAAAAATATAATGAAAAATAAACAGGGAAGAAGTTCATTGTTTGATACTTTAAGTGAACACAAACAGCCATTTGTAGCCATAGAAACCTCAGATCTAGGAAATCAAAACTGCTTTCCTAAATAGTTCCTTTTTAAATAATCAATAAATTTAAACTGCAAATATGAGAGATTAAATTGAGGCAGGGACCGATCAGTTGTGGTTTGTGTTCGAGCACAGATCATTTATTTACCAAGTATTTATTTTGCATCATGTGTTTGGTCTAGGGGCCATAAAGAGGCCAGCAATAGCTATACAGGGGCACGGGCCCCCTTAGTAGAACCATAATCGGGCAGATTCCTGTCATCTGTAATCGGCCAGAGAACAGCAATCAGTGCACAGCTAGTGTAATGCCTCCTACATCCCTCTGAAACTGCAGGAATCCAAACACCCCCATTCCACAGGGGATCCGGGGGGGCGGGTCGGGGGGGTTACATTGAAATGAGAAAATTGGGTCAAACTCTGAGGAATGACGTGCAGCTTTGCATTTACAGAGTCAGCTATGCATGTAAATAATGCAGCGGGGCATCTGACCCCGTTTTCTCTTGTTTACATAAAAAGAAATTTCACATGAAAGTGTGTCACCTTTTCTCCCCACTCCTCCTCATCATCATCCTACCTCCCACCCTCTGCATCTCCTCTCATCTTTTGATCTTTTGAGAACTGAGAGGATTTACGCTCAGCTGTTTAAAAAAAAACTTCCTCTAGTTTTCTCCTTACAAGGCTGAGCCCTGTGGAGCCCCCACACTTCATGGGAAGCAGAAGAAGGAAAAAAAACAGCTGAAATATGACACTGAGATCCTGCAGCAGCGTGACATATCAATCTGGGAAAAACAAAATAAATGGAGGAGGCAGGGGGGGCTAATGAGAAAATCAATATAAAGGCTGCATCTCTGCATCTTGCAAACTAACCCAAGTCTGCAAATTGGATAATAATGATGACAATAAAAGAAGAAGGAAATAATGAAAAGCATTCATCCCATTCCTCCATCATGGCTGCAGGGTGTGACATGTGCAAACTGTCTAGTAACAGCTGCACATGCATCAAAACAATGCACAACAGCTATAGCAGCACATAAGAGCACCCTATGGAAAAACTGACCTGAAAGGAAGTTTACTAAAGAGAAGCTTTTTTATTTTTACACTATGCCTCTACTTTAACTGCTTTTTTATGCATATATGTTTTTTTTTTTATAATCTACCAATCCTGAATGGTCCAATATTTCAGCAGTTTGCCTCTTTGAAGGTCTAAAAACATGAGAGTTTGTGCAGGATTGGATGCTACAGATCATTACCAGATGACTGGAGCCCAATATGCAGATTAGAAAGCAGGAATCATATTATATAATGAAAAATATTCCTTAAAATCTGTTTTTAAGCGGAGCTGAGTCCCCTAATCTGTAAGGAATCTTCATTTTTCATCCTCTGCATCCAATCAGCAGCATGTGTGCATTATTAAGGTGGACTTGAACTTGTGACACTTGCAGGTTCTGCACTTTTCCAACTCTGAGCTGAGATTTCCATCAGAACAGCGACCCAGACAGCAGAACCAGAACCAGGCTCAGAGGGGGGGAACCCCAGCACTTACCCTCCGATAACTCCAGCTCCAGCTCGGCCAGTTTGGCCCGAACCTCTGCGGGAAGCGGCACCGGGTCCCGGTCCGCCATGCCTCCAATACCAGCCGGCTTTAACCTCTGCTTTTTGGGGTTATTTACTCCTTGTTTTGTCCTTCCACGATTTTCTCCAGAGTAAAAATAAATAAATAAATAAAAGAAATCCCAAAGTCAGTCCGAGTCCGCGTTCAGCGTGTGGCTCCGTGTGCGGCAGCGGAGACGCCGCAAAACACGCATAAAGTTAGAGCGGAACTGATAGAGCGACTTCCGCTGAGATCCTTCAAAATAAGAGCGCGAACACTGACACCTGTAAACACCAGATAAATCCTGACATAGTTCGGTCAAGTACCAAAAAAAAATTTACAAGAGATTAAATATATTATTTTTACAATAAAAAAAAAGACTAGAACATCAAGTCCTTTTATATTACACCATTAATCTCACATTTTATTCATATTCATGTCTGGTTGTTTACATTAATAGGTGGAAAAACAAACAAATGAATATTATTATTTCATAAATTACACTATTTTCAACAGATCAATAATATTAATAAACTTAGCATAAAAAACATTATTGTTTCTTAAAATGTGAAAATAGCCAACCTATTCCTTTAATCAGCCATTAAATTTTATTTCAAAATTATTCTATCCTTGTTAATGATGAGTAATAAATAAAATATTCATACATTAAATAATATTTATACTGTGTTTTTTTATTAGATTAGTTAAAATCATAGATTAATATTCATGGAAAACAAGTCAGAAAACTATTGATAAAGCATCAGGTATAAATTATAAATGTTAAAGGATTTGCTTTAAACTATGTTCTAAAAATACTAGAAATAATAATAATGATGATGTGTAAAGATAAATGTATAAAAACATTGCTTTTTTAAAAGCTTTTAGTTTAAATCATTTTCTTCAACACTTCCTGTTTTGTCTGTTGTTAATTATTTATAACTTTAATTCACTCACATGTAGAATTTACTGACTAAACCAAAACAGATCATGTAATTTTTTTGTATAATTTTAAGGAAAGAACGATGAAAATTATCTTTTTTGATTCTTTTTTGTTTATTTACTTTTTTATATTTGCAAAACATTTTGTAGGGAGAATACAGCTTGTAATAAACAGAGGTTAACCACACGGGGGCGCCAGATACCACTTTTTGTTCTAATCAGCTTCAAACTTCAATAATTATCTAAGTGGGAAAACATGCAGGTGTTTTTATGTCGTTTATTTAAAAATCCTTAGTTCTTTGTGAAATGATGATCTGTATACATGAAAGTTAAAATGCTTTTTTGAGTTGTTAAATTACATTTTAAAAAACTGTATATTTCATAAAAATAAACCCTTTTTGTGTGTAAGACAAAACACAAGTGGGTAAAAACAGAGAGTGAAATATTACAAAATTGTGTTTCTTTTTAGCTGTCATGTTTACATATTGCAAATAATAAAAAAAAATTAGTGACTGATTATAATATTGCAATAAATAGTGGAAACTCCAGTCACTTCAAACTTCAGTCTGGATCAGTAGGATATACAACCAGGAGAAACCCTGCTGACCTAAGAGAGAAGCAGTAAAAGTCATCAACAGCATCACCAAGGAGAGTGAGCTAAAACAGATCAGTGTTAAAGAATCTAGGAGTGCTACATGGAGACATTTAAATAGAACGTTTAGTGGAGGGAAAAATAACAGGTTACAGGGGTAAAACCCAGCCTGCACTGGAAGAATTATCTAGAAATAAGTACAAATTTCTTAAATTAAGTGTATTTACCCTTAATTTGAATAGATAAATGAGATAGATTGCCAATGGAACGAGTAGTTTTACTCTTAAAATGAGATAATTAGATAGAATGCACTTGAAATAAGACAATGGAGTTGTGTTTTCTTATTTTAAGTGTAACTTGTCTTGTTCCATTGGCAAAGTCTTTTTTTTACCTCCTCAATCCGAGAGCAAATGCACTTATTTAAAGAAAAAATTACTTATCTAGATTTCAGTTTTTTCCAGTGTATAGAGGGGTTTGCTGCTCTGCAGAGGATGTACGGAGCATCTTTAAGAGAAAGAATGAGCCCGGAACCAACAATACAGCTGCTACTAAAGTCCCCTGGGCTTCCATTACAACTGAGTAGAACAACCATCTGATCAATGGCTGCTCTAGACCATATTTACGCGCTTTTAGGCGCTGAAAAGGATTTAAATTAATAAAACAAGGCAATATTTTATTATTTTGCCCCAGAAACAAAGAGCTATTTGTGGCTCTGCACAGAATGAAGTGAAATTTCCACGTCATTTATGTTGTTCCACTTCAAAATGTGTACTTTTAGGTTTAGAAAGTTACATTTCTTAGAGTTCCTCTAGCATGGAAAAGGGAAATAAACAGAAACAGTAAGTATCTAAATAAATCTCTATTAAAAGATCAGATAAAGCTACTCTTATTATATTAAGTCAATGTACATTCATAATTTAGAATATTTCATATTTCTGACTTATTTTATATCAGTTTTAATTGAATTAGAACTTAAGTAAAGCTGATCAATTTAGCTAAAAGAAATTAAAGGGGGTTTTTTGGGCAGTTAAAAATAATAAAAACTGTGATTCTATCTCAATATCACCAAATAAAAATGAATAAGAACTGTAAAGGAAAAAATTAAATGGGTCCAAGAGAACTGTCAGTCACAATATCTACTCCGGTGCGTATCATCAGTAGAATGGTTTTCCTTATATTTCTTCTTCATAGGAGCAGATCTACTGGATCAATAAGATACTAAGAATTAAAAATGTAAAACTAAATGTAAACTAATGAAACAGAACAAAGAGAGTAAAAAAAAAAAACAGGACGCCCCCCAAAAAACAGGACGCCTGTCTAATATCTAAAGGTGATGCGTTTAAAACAGAGAAAGGCTCAGTCTCCTTTGATTGTCTGCTTATTTTCAGGAGCAACTAATAGCAGCTGGTCGGCTGATGGAAAGGGCCTTGAAGGGAGGTGAAGCTGGAGAAAATCAGAGGTAGAGAGGATTAACGTCTTTAAGGTATTTATTTATAAGCCATTTGGATTTTAACTCTATTCTATGATGCACATGGAGCCAATGAAGGGAGGACTGGATAGGGGATCTTGAGAGTGCGTAAATCAGTAAAACAAAACACAAAAAACTAACGCTTTAATTTGAAGAAAAAAAAAAGGGATTCTTGAATACAAGCAACTTTGCAACTATTGAGATAAATTGTTCTCTCCAAGTCATCCTAAAGTTATACTAATAACCATAACTGGAGAATAGTTTTACCAAATAGAGCTGGTTGGTTTATTTAGTTCAAAACTTGTTTATTATTTACCTAAATATCGTCACATGTGGTTTGATGAATGATTCGATGCGATCAGAAGGAATAGCTGGGTTTGTGTGAAATAAAGAGCCTGTTTTGCTTTCATTGAAGCTTTAAAAAAAGAAAAATATGCAATTCTTTGATCTTTTCAAGGTTATATGATAGTGGATAGAGTTTAGGTCGTAGAAGCAAGTAAATCTGATAGTATTAGGAGGAGCGGTGGAAGAAAGGAGATGATGTTTTAATGAGAACAGACCCCAAAAGGAAGGTAGGAAGAATTGATATTCTAGCTCTCCTAGAATTTAGATTTCTGTTAAACATTTCCCCTGTTTTATTGATCTTGTGTAATCTGTTACTCTGAGACACAAAATATTTTTATTTAATAGAAACAAATGACTGAAATATTCCCTCGCTGTCACATTTATCTATATTATTATAGATTTTTTTCTTTCTGAAATGAGCGACAAGAAATATAAAAGATATTTTATGTTCCTGTAATGTGGCAGCATTCCTATAGTCATTCATTTGATTTCAGGCCATAACTCTGTGCACCATTCCCTCCTGCAGCAAAACACCCTAACAATGTGGAGCTGCCACCCCGGTATGTCACACTGCAGTATGGTGATCTCAGGGCTGAAAAATTCACCCTTTTTCTTATATAAAAAAAAGGCAATATGTTCAAAAAGTTCTGTTTTCTATCATCACACCATAAGATGTGTCTCCAAAACTCCAGACTTTGACTCTATCTCTGGCTTCTTCTTTCCAAAGTGAATTTCAGAGCCTGCTAGTACCACTCTTTTTTCAATATTCTGCACTGGAGCTGAAATCCACATTTTATACTAAAAACACTCAACAACATATTCCCTAAATATGTAGTGAAGTGTTTTCTATTGTTAACTAAATGCTTTTTATTGAGTTTTAAAAAACTGAATATGATGAAAGGATAAAATGATCCAGTATTGACATTTTTATAATAATTCATCACCAATGGCATTGGGAAATAATACCAAAAATGTAACCCTGAGAGTTTGGTGCCCCCTGGTGGTTGCTCTACTGTCATTGCTGTAGTAAATATGTTTAACTTTGTAAATAGATCAATTCTTTACCAAAAAATTTATTTATTTCTGTTTCTGCATTTTTTTTAATGTTTAATATCTTTACATCTTTTTTGCTGGGTTGGAATATTTTTTTACTCTAATCTCCTTATTTTAAATCATCACCTGAACATAAAACTGACTAACTGACTAACTGACTGAGGCAGTCTGGAAAAAAAAAAAAAAAACTAAATAGACAAAACTGCTTTATTAACTTTATCTTGTATCATTCTGAACATTAATGAATACTAAGATCTTCATATATTGTCATAAATCCTGGTATCAGACATAAACTCAGTGGCTACTTAATCAGCTACATACAACTGCTTGTTAACTCAGAGATAATCAGCCAATCCAATGGCAGCAAGCGCGTTAATGTATCTACATGTATTGAAAGCTATTGGCTAAAGTTCAAATTGAGCATCAGAAGGTGAAGATGCTCTGGTCTGATGAGCCAAATTAACATTTAATTACTTACAGACTACTTGTTCAGCGGGTTACAAATCAGGGATCCTGAGGCGGCATCAGTCCCCTTTTCAACATGTCTCTTCTTTCACACAACTGAATCAATGAGCAGAGTCACCTGCTCGGTGAGCTGTCAGGTTCTCTGACTGTGTACCGCAGGTATGTTGATCACAGACCCAAAAAAGATGCAGGGAAGCAGACCATGAGTTCAGGAAGCCTGGTCGATGATGTAATTTATGGAAGCAGAAGCTTGTATCCCACTGAAAGGTTAGATAAGCTCATCATGAAGGCCTGCTCTTTGCCGGGGCAGCAAGACAGGTGAACTCTAGCAAAAACAATATCAA